TGAAAAAAATCCTCTAAACAAGAAACAGCAAATTGTCTTGCTATCAACTAGGTGATGAGAAGCACTTCACAGAGAGCTGGTCTGAGTGTGCAGCATGAGGTCCAGTTCCCTGCCACATTATCTTCAGACACAGGGCCTGGAAAATTGGACTGTGACCTAATGTGGACTAAATAAACAGGATTTTTCCCTTGTCTGCAATACCTGTTGAACTAATTGTAATAAATCATGAATGGAGGTCCTGATGAAGTGAACCACAATGTTTCTAGATACTGCATCACCCAGACTGTGTACTGAGAATCAGAATATAAGTTTAGAGGTGGAGTATAACATTGTAAAGGATGTATTTCATGGGTAATTCCATCTGATGTACAGAAGCACCTGGGTGAGTGAAAACTAGTGAGACATCTCTAGAAAACAGGGCACCCTACCATCTTTTGTGTATCTACTAAACACTTGCATAAAGGGTATTGTCTAAAGCCTAGTGCTTTTAGGAAATAAAATAGCATGCTTTGGGTGTGGAGAGATGGCTCAGAGATTAAGAGCACTAACTGTTCTTCCAGAGGTCCTGAGTTCAAGTCCCAACAAACACATGGTGGCTCATAATCATCTGTAATGAGATCTGGTGCCTTCTTCTGGCCTTCAGGCAGAACACTGTACACATAAATAAATAAATAAATAAATAAATAAATAAATAAATAAATAAATAAATAAATATTTTTAAAGATTGCATGTTTTGATGCAAAATCGAAAAATTTACTGGAAGGAGTGGGAAAGAGGAACTAGGCCATTAGAGAAGTCTGCCCTGAGATCCGAGCTCTCTGCACTATGTGCAAGCATAAAGTTCCACATGCAAATATGGTTTTGGGCAAACCAGACCACAAGAGCACACACTGGGTCATTAACTGAATTCACAGGCAAGTTCTGACACCAATTTCTAGAGGACCATCCGCCCCTCACCATTGTGTGGGCTCCCACTTCCCACTCAGCTGCCTCCAGCAGGGGGAAGGAAAACCTCACATCCTGGTCCTTCTGAAGCTGCTCCTCTGAGCTCTCTGCTTCCCACTGTCTTCAAAACTCACTCAGGGGCTCTCTCCACTCACTGGGCCACTGGCCACATCCTGACACAGCTCTGGTTAGCAGCTGTGGGAGGAGGCTGTGTCTCTCCTCATGCCTCTCTTCTCTTGATCCCTTACTGCTGAGCAGGAGTTTTATGGGTTCACAGCACTGTTGGGAACAGTTGGGAGAATTAATTGATCACAATATAGCAGAGGAACACAAGTTGCTAAGAGATGTTTGGGTTCCTCCAGCAGATGTATTCCAGCTCATACCGACATGCTCAACCTTCAGCTCTTCCAAACACTTCCCTTCTTGAAATCTCCTCTAGCTACTCCCATGTTCATACACATAACAAGCAAACAGCACATGCATGAAAACACACACACACACACAAACACCCCCACCCCCTACACACATGCACTCCACACACCCATGTCTTGTCTACCATATGCAAGGAAGCTCTGTTCAACATTGTGAGCCTCTCAATGTCGGCCCACTATGGAGCCAACACTATGCACAGGTGCTCTCCTCACTTGTCCAATTGCCCAGTTCCTCCATCAGGACCCTCTTCTCTCCTATTTGCAGGTCTGACTCCTCACAGGAAGTGACCTAGTGAGTTCATACTCTCCTCAGCATGCTGGAGCACAGACTCCCTACAAGTGACCATTTCATAACATAGCTGCCCTCCTCACCTCCCAGGCTCTGAGGTCTCACAGCAGGCTTCTGCTTGGAGACTCTCTCCTGAATCCAGACACTTTCTCACCAGCATGCTGACATTCCCCTGTCTTCTTGGGCTCCGGTTCTGCTGTCAGGCCAGCCCTCAGCCGGTCACCCACACCCTGGACCAGACCAATGCTGCCCCCACCTGACCCTTCCACAAACACCTGCCTTGCCCTCCCTACACCATTCTTTATTCAGTAAGTTACTAAGTAACTGAGGTGCTGCAAGGAAGGAAACAAATATGACAGAATATGAAGTCCTGTATGATTATTGAACCTATTGAGTACTTCCATAGTGATAAATATACCTACACACCACTTCACTCTAATCACAGATGCTCAGGGGTTTTACCCTCTCAGTAAAATATATGTTTAAAGTTATCATATCTCACATACACTTCAATAAGTCATGCACAATACTCAAGTGGCTTACAACAACAAGTATTTTTCTTTTGACTATGCCCTACGTGTGTCCTAAGTCCTAAGTGACTTATGGTCATTGTAATTCAGTTCAGTTTCTTACCACATTTATCATTTGGGAGCCAGGATCATAGAGAACAGCAACTTCTTGTAAGTAGAATGTAATGTAACCTCTTGTATTTAGAGAATCAGATTCATTCTCATTCTATGGGCCAGTGAAAGTCACCTGGACAAACCAGCCAATTGGAGTTGAAAGCATACTCTATATGAAGGAAGATGGGTCAAAGGCATTGAGATGGTCCTTTTACAGAGAAGTATGAAAGCACTGGGACCAGAATAGCATCTACACCTAATCCCTTTACTGTTTACTCAGGAAATGTACATTATTGGGTTTCAAAATGGACCATTAGTCCCATCCACAGAAAAGAGATACTATTGCAACACAAGCATGAAATACTAAAACTTGTTGGAGAGATGGCTCAGGGGTTAAGAACACTGACTGCTCATCCAAAGGTCGTGAGTTCAATTCCCAGCAACCATATGGTGGCTCACAACCATCTATAGTAGGATCTGATGCAATCTTCTGGCATAAAGTCATACATGCAGATAGAATACTCATGTACATGAAATAAATAAAATACTTAAACTTGTGCTTTACTGATTTCTGTTATTGAAGTAAACTAGTTGCTGTGGATATTGCTCTATATAAATAAAACACTGATTGGCCAGTGGCCAGGCAGGAAGTATAGGCAGGACAAGGAGAGAGGAGAATTCTGGGAGGTTCAAGGCTGAGAGAGAGAGAGAGACCTGCCAGCCACTGCCATGACAAGCAAGATGTAAGGTACCTGTAAGCCATGAACCACGTGGTAACTTATAGATTAATAGAAATGGGTTAATTTAAGATAGAAGAGGTAGATAACAAGAAGCCTGCCGTGACCATACAGTTTATAAATAATATAAGCTCCTGAGTGATTATTTTAAACGTGGGTTCTGGGACTGCGGGGCTTAGTGGGACCTGGAGAGTTTCTCCAGCTACAACTAGTTTCATATGGGTTAGTGTTGGGTGTCTGTCATGTACACCATGGGGTCTGTCATCAAGCAGTGAGGGAGTGCCTGGGACAGTGATGGCGCACATTCTCCTGTTCACCTACGTCTGCATTCATATTATTTTATATCTGACCTTTTGAAGAAAGACTTTGTCTAGACTTTTACTCATTTCATGGGAGGTTACCTCTCAAATTGTTTGGAATTCCTGGAGCTATTTGGAAGTCTGTTTTATCATAGTAGGTCATGAAGCTTTATGCTGCTCAGTTCTGTCATAGTTCATGTCAACAAGACAATTCATGTAGGGAGCTCACTATTTCAGAAACACTGACATTGTGATTAAAGAGTTGAGCCTTTGAGCCATGAGATGCTCACCTTGGCAAGGAAGTGATGCTGAAGGCTGAGTTCACTCTCTTATCAACCAAACACTCACACCTATATAATGAACCCTGACAAATCTCTGAATATCAGAGCTCAGATGAGTGCCCCCTGGTTGGCTTATTCTATATACTGTAACACATTAACATTCTGGGAAGGAGATGCACACATGGAATCAATGGATATTTCCTTTATGGAACACTCCCTGACCTCACTTGATATGTCTCTCCCTTTAGTTCTGCTTTGTAGCTTTCTACATAACAAAACTATAATCCTAGTAGAACAGAATCGTTAGTTCAGTGTGTCATCCTAGAAGCTCATAAATCTACAGGTATTATGGGATGCTGGTACTCTGCAGACAGATGACCTGAAGTAATGGCATCCTTGGGAACTCCTGAACTTCAAGCTTGAGTCTGAAATGAGGACAGTCTTGTAGAGGCATGGCCTGAACTTGTAGAACAATTTAATTAGTAAATGAAATGTTTTTGACTATAGCTTACTAGAACAGCCATAAGAAACATTTTGAGGATGGCTGAGGAAATACAGGCAAGATCACACATCATCTGAGAACAGAGTTGTTAAATTTTTTAAGAGTGATAGTGGTATTGTTTTTTGCACAATGACAATTTCAGTTGATATATATTGAAATAGTGACTGAAGTGTTATGTATCAAACTAGCTATCAAGTGCCCTATCAAATAACTTGTGCATATATACATGCACAAATATATATATATATATAAAATTATCAAAATGTCAACAATTATTACTATAAATGGCAATTCTATGAGTATTGATGATACCAGCCAGTCAACTTTTGTTTCAAAATATTCATGATAAGAAGTTGAAAAGGCTTCCAAAGTGTTAAGCAGCAGCAGGCTCCGTGGTACATGTGGCTCTCCTCAATGTCATCCATAGGGCAGAGGCAGTCCCTAATGCGGCAGGCACAGGGTGGGACACCAAGAACAACAGGTGGTGCCAGTAGAAGGTTGGCTATCATCTTCTTAGACTTGCTCTTAGGAAGGTCACCCAGCCCAGGATCAGCCACCATTAGAGGCCCACATCAGCCTCACGGCACCCACAGCACCTGACACACTAGCCACGGGGACCAAGATCCTGAATGGGTCCTGGTAGTGCAGGTATTGGGGTACACGAGAAAATGCTGATGGAAGGGCAAAAACTGCTAGAGAAAATATGAGTAAGCACTGAAGATCAAAGTGACTATGGGTAACAATGTCACCCTGTGTGTCTGAATTTGCTTAAGAAGATCTAAATGGTCTAACACCACACACACAAAACAGACAACTGTGTTAGGTAATAGAGGGTGTTGTTACTTAATTGTGGTAGCCATTACATAATACATTTCCATATCAGGTCAAGACAGTGTAATGTAAATATACATGATTTATTTGTCAAATATACATCAATAAACCCAAAGACAGAGGAACAAAGAGAGAGACAGATGGTTAGAGGGACGACACCATACAATTCTATAATCAAATAAGACTGTAGGAATCTAAGATGGACAGAGAAGCTGGAGTGCTTCTACATAAACACAAAGGGATCCTGTAGAGTCCCTGGCATATGGGAAATTCTCATTATATATAGAGTAAAGGATGAATAAATAAGCATAAGTATATATGTGAACCAGTATTATCATATGTAAAACTTTTGGCTGCCTACCTAAATTTATATGGACATCTCTTCTACAAGAAGATCTTTCCAAGTGTCCATGTAATGGTTGATAAAAATGCAATCCATGTCCATGAAGAATGATTGATTCATAAGTATATTCTCTTCATCTGACAAACTGACTTCTGTTCATCACTGCAACGGATGTCATTCCAGCCCCAACTAGAATATGGATGACTTACTACAACACATTGTTCGTCGTTATTGTTGGGCTCACGTGGGTGCCAGAACCTGGAAGGGAGGACAGAGCATCAGGGTGTTTCCCACAGTGATGCTGGGAAAGAGAAAACAAGAGTAAACAAGCCTCAGGATGCGGTGGGAATTTGCGGAAAGCAGATTCAGGTGTGTACAAATCAACCGTTCTCCACCACCCATGTCTGACATGTCCCTGGAAACAGGGCCACCTCACTCAATATTCTCTTAGCTTGTTACTCAACTGTTCTCCCAGAACATATCCCAGGGGCTACTTCATCCCTACGTCTTGGTACCTGGGAATTGTCATTCCATGTGCTTATTTATAAGTTGAAAAGGTCTCTGTGGTGGTATTGTGTTCCCCAAAATATTGTGTACTCTAATAAATTTATCTGGGGTCAGAGAACAGACAGCCACTAAATACAAAGGCTAGAAAATGGTGGCACTCACACCTTTAATCCTAGCATTCCAGAGATAGAAATCCCTCTGGATCTCTGTGAGTTCAAGGCCACATTGGAAATAGCCAAGTATGGTGACTCACGCCTTTAATCCCAGAAGGCCAGCCTTTAATCCCAGGGAGTGGTGGTAGAAAGCAGAAAGATATATAAGGCGTGAGGACCAGAAACTAGAAGATTTTGGCTGGTTAAGCATTCAGGCTTTTGAGCAGTATTTCAGCTGAGACCCATTCCGGATGAGGACTCAGAGGCCTCCAGTCTGAAGAGACAAGACCAGCTGAGGATCCGGCGAGGTGAGATAGCTCTGGCTTGTTCTGTCTCTCTGATCTACCAGCATGGACCCCAATAACTCGCCTCAGGTTTGATTTTATTAATAAGAACTTTTAAGATTCCTGCTACAGGTCTCTCATTATCATGCTGTAATAATTTTTTTTCATTTTACAGTAGTCTTATTTTAGAGACTGGAGAAATACTTAAAATAGTTAGATAATCTATGTATTTCTGTCATCTAGGACAAGTAATTTACTACCCAGGATTCCTACTTTTCTTCTCTGAAAACTAAGAATGAGAATAACATTACTACCTATTTCTCACAACAGAAATCAGGATAGAATATGGGAGCATACTAAGGTATTAGAGTTTTTAAATAATTACATAAATACAACACATAAAAATATGAGATTGAGGGCTTTTGATTTAAGGGAAATAATCAGTTATGATCTTGACATTAATTTTTATTATAGATATAAATGAAATCTGGACAGATGGCTCAGACATAAGAGTGCTCACTGCTTTTCCAGAACACATGACATCTCTGTTAACAGCACCCATATTGGCACAGTCATACCAACTGTGACCTTAGCTGCAGAGAATCCAACACCCACTTACGGGCTCCATGGGCACCCAAATACTCACGACACACAGAGAGACATAGATATATACACTAATAAAAATAAATTAAATCCTATTGTTTAATATAGGGAGAGACTGAAAGCATAATAAAACCCACCATGGTGTAGCACCTTGGTTGGGTGCCCTGGGTACTTATCATGCTACACTCTTCAAACTCAGTTTCCTCATCTATCATGGAGTATACGTGACATGTGTCTCACAGAACTCCTTTTGAGGAAATGGAGATAAAGTAACTCCACCTACAGCACTCTCACCAGGAGTGAGCTGTTTTAGTTTGATAATCAACAGCTGGAACACCCTAAAGTCTTCTCATGCTACAGGACCCAGGACTCCTCTAGGCAACTCTGGACTCACGTGGCACTTTCATTGTATGGTGTCTGATCAACCCAGCGCCACTGTCGGTGACCTGCATCTGAAAGCCCAATAAAATAAGCAGCTTTAGGATCCAGGGTCTTGGTGATGAAATCCTAAGAGGAAAGAGAGATACAGCATTCAGCCTGGGTGGAGTGTTTCTTTTTCTGGTATAGAATTTTTATTAGATCTTTTAAAAATTAATTTAACTATACAAAATTATAGGTCCAATATGATGCACATATGCAAATATGTAATAATCAAATCCTATTCATCTCTCTAGGCCTTTAAATATTTCTGAAGTTATAGATTAATACACATTAATTTACATTTTAGAGGAACACTGTGATATTTTGACTGACTTATTTCTGGTCACACAGAGATGAGAAGACAAAGAAAGGATCAAGGAATAGAAGAGCCACCCCCACCCCCAGGAGTGCCATCTTCTCTGGCTGACCAGGACACAAAGTCACCACTCAGAGGCCTGATTTCCATGACACTGGAAACAATCTCTGTCCATGATCATAATGAATTCTCATCTCAGACTCACTCCCCTCTTTTCTTCCCCAACACCATTCTTGAAAGTTGAGCATGAGAGAATTTAGCATTCTCCATTCATAACCTCGGATATTTCATTTTTTTAATTTTTTATTTACTTATTTTTATTTTATTTTACAATACAATTCAGTTTTACACATCAGCCACGGATTCTCTTGTTCTCCCCCCCCCCAGCCCACCCCCTATTCCCAACTCCTCCAGGGCAAAGCCTCCCCTGAGGACTGAGATCAACCTGGACCTGTCTGGACTGAGTCTACCAGGTTGATCTCGGATATTTCATTTCTGATCATTGGCTGTGACTCTCCTGATTTGATCTCCTTTCCCCAGTCAGCTCTGCGCCCTCCTCTGTTAGGCAGTGGGTACTACAGGAAGCATTAGAGTGCTGAAATCACAAACTGCTCTTTCAAGCAGAAACATTTCATCCTTCCCTCCACCCTCAGGCATTGCATTTCTGTTGCCATGGTTCCTCGTGGGTTGTTCAGCTTCACTGAAGCAGGGGCAAGGTGTAGAATGCCAAGGCTGAAGCAACCTTTCCAGCTTCCTGATGGAAAGCCTTCTGCCACATCAGCAACACCCATGTCAACAAAACTCCCTCTTAGAAAAAAGAGGCAGACAACAGGCCAGGCCCAGGCCCCACTCTCTCCCAGGATGCACCTGCTCTTCCTGGCTGTGGATCACCATCAGATGAGCGCCCATTCTGGAGCACTTCTCCTCACTCTCTCTCCCAGATGCCGCATCAGTGGAAATGTAGTAGCAGTGGGAACTAAATGGCTTCCAATCCTTTGGGCAACAGCTCCAGACTTTGTGTTTGGACGAGAAAGGAAATGTAAGTGCAAGATGAAGCCATTTTAAAAGCTGCTTGATGTGGAGACCACATGGAATCTGGGACTCCCCAAATCTACAGATCCAGCAGGGAACACCTCCCAATTCAGATGCCAAGCACTCAAGACTACCTCTATCTACACTAACATCAGGACCCCTATGTCCTACTGTGGTGTTGTCAGGAACAGAGTGCCATGGACACCCAGACCCTGAGGACATAATGCCAAACTGTGTCTCTAAATAAAAGTTTAGTTCTTGGTATAACTCATTATACCAAGAGCCAGAAAATTTCATAGTTTTATATGTAGTATTTAAATAATACATATCAGTAATCATGGTAGCAAAATTCTGACAATTTTTAAGTTAATGATGATAAAAATACTTCACAAAAATATTACAAATATTCTAGAAATAAATGTAAAATAGAATGCCTTAAGAAAGTAAAAAAATATAAAAACCCAGTATGTGTAAATACAACTTTTTTATTTTTGAAAACATCATTTTAATCATGGCATTGTGTTTTATTATACTCATATATGGATATATTTTAACAGATCCATTTTTTGCCAGTTACTTAGGGTGTTGCTTTTCTTTACACCCCTATTAAGAATAATAGCAACAGACCAACTTTGTCTATACTAGTTAATTGTGTCCCAGGGAAATTTTTAGAGAATAAAAGCTGGGTCAAAGGATGAAATGTGTTGCAAGTATAACTCTTTCTTTCTGTAATAATGTGTTTTTCCATTTCATAATTGAAAAAATTGATAGAACAGTCTTTTTCAAATGCAGTACAATGGAGTGACAGAGAAATCAGGAGAAACAAAAATCATAGAAATTGAATTGAATAACAGAGACAAAACAGGAATAAACAAACAAATACAGTCTTCCTTCATGATCCTTAACTATCTATGCCAAATAAAAAGAGGTATAAAATATGTGAAAAATAAAGCAAAGAATTGAGAAGCATATTGTGGCAGATACACAGAGTTAAATTCAAACACTCATGTATATCCCTCTGTGCTTGTACGGATACAAAGAATGTCAGAGATGAGAAAACAATCACAGAACAGAAGGGGATAGAATGAACAGCCAGAGCATGCAGTGTTCAGTGAAGAACTAAGAAATTACATTTTTAGTGGTAAATGTAAACAAGTCTCAGATGACAAAAAAATATTTTGCACCATTATGAAGAACTTGGATAGATATAGACAGATACATTATTCTGTCTCTTGAGAAACCTAACCCAATATTCCACCATATTGTGGGTTACATGTAGCAACATCCCTTCAAAATTACAATGTGTAAAATGGATTTTTTAAAAAATCAATGTTTTACATTTAATTAAAATTTAATTATATCATTTTCCCTCCAATCCCTGCCACGTTCCCTCCTCTCTCTCAAATTCATGGCCTATTTTTATTGTTCTAAGAGCTATGGGCGGTAGACGGGCCCAGCGGCAGCGGAGACAAGAAGACGCAGGGCGGCCCGCGGAGGGAGACAGGCCCGGTGGCAGCGGCTGACAGGGACATTCAGGCCCGGCGGCAGCCGGCAGACACATACAGGTCCAGCGGCGGCCAGCAGAGGTAGACAGGCCCAGCGGTGGAGACAAGCAGACACAGGTAGGCCTGTGGCGGCGGCCCGCGGAGGTAGACGGTCCCAGCGGTGTCCCACAGAGGTAGACGGTCATGGCAGCGGAGATAAGCAGACTCAGGTAGGCCCACAGAGGCAGCCCGCAGAGGCAGACGGACACGGCAACAGCTGCCAACAGGGACATACAGGCCCAGCGGCAGCCAGCAGAGACATACAGGCCTGGTGACTGCCCGCAGAGGCAGACAGACCCAGCGGCAGCTGACAGGGACATACAGGCCCAGCGGCAGCCAGCAGAGACATACAGGCCTGGTGACTACCCACAGAGGCAGACAGACCCAGCGGCAGCTGACAGGGACATACAGGCCCGGCAGCAGACCGCAGAGGTAGACAGGCCCAGGGATGGAGACAAGCAGACACAGCTTGGAACAGGGACGCCCCTAACCCCAACACCTGGGGAAGAAGCTATCTCTGTGGGTCGGAACCAGAACGAATCTGAACACTCCGTCTGAAGACAACCCAGGGCCCAGCTGCTGATCCTGTAAAACCCAACAACTTGGAGGTGTTGGTGAGACTACCCTGCTCAGCTGAAACCCATCTGGGAGAGGATTCAGAAGCCTACAGTTTGAAGTCTGAAGAAACAAGATCAGCTGAGGAGTTGACAAATGAACAAAACGTGACCTGGGAACACAGAAGAAGGCGCTACC